GGGGGGGGGCTCCACATTTAATGAGCGCGCAGCCCCGCGGAGCTAATGATGCATCGATTGCCCATTGATAGCGCCCGTGGGCCCGCGCGCCCGCCCCGGACTGACGGGACCGGCCGCATCGCGGTGCCTCCTCCTCTCCTTGGAAAAACAACCTGGTGGTGCCCGCTGCTCATTTTCTTTTCAAACGATCGGTGTCAGCCCGCGACCTCTAAATATGGACGCGGCACGCGTTAAAATAGGCACGAGCTGCTGACCCCTGGATTAAATGATGACGCTTATATTCATTCTTAGTTTTACTATTCCGGTCGGGATTTATTTTTCACTCGACTCTTGCGCTAGAATATGCGCGGCGGCGAGCGTGCCGCGCCCGCCCCGCACGCAGTTGGACACGGAAACCGTTTAATAATGTGGGATCCGGGGCGGCCGTATAGATAAGGCCGGTATGGCCGAGCTTTGTGGCGATGCCCAGGCTGCGCCTTCTGCGTGCTGCGTGCAGGGCGGCTGCTGAGGGGCTCTAATTGGTGGCGCCCGTCCAGCCCGAGCGAGCGCGGCGGCGATGTCCCCTTCGGTCCCCTCCGGTCCCCTTTCCTTCGCCTTATTATGACTAATGACGGCCATGGGCAGGCCTGGTGCCCCGGGCGTCATGCTCGCCCGCCACACAAGTCGATTCCTTCAAGCTCAGCGCGTCCAGCCGTCCACCCGTCCGTCCAGGCGATGTCAGCCGTCGATTTCTCTCCCTCTTCCTCTCACACGCTCCCTTATTCCCCCCTCCTTCTGCCCGCCAATCTTTTCGAACTTTAAACCTGCCCCTAAACTGGCGAAACTTTTCCTAACCTGCAGACCAAATCATCGCCCGCCCTAGTGGAGAGCGATCCGTTATGGCGACGGTGTAAATGGCGAATTTTGCAAACTTAATCCGTTTTGCAAAAGTCACGCTTATAATTATACCGCCGTTCGGCCCGGACGGTCCGGACACCTCCTCCTCCTGGGCGAACAATGGTCGGGCCGCGCCCCGTTTCTCATTTCCACCGCCGTTGCGATCCAGATATATCTCAGATTGGATTTGCCTCTCACTTTGCAACACCTGGTGCGATTTATGACGCTCCCAGCTGCCCCCCTCCCCCCCCCCCCCCCCTGTGCGCCTCCCATCCTGGCCGAGGCGCGGCCGACCCCTCCCCTCCCCGGCCGCTCGCCCGATCGGTTTTAGGGTTAACAACACTTGTTGGATTACGGCAGCTGCGCCGTGCCGGCCAGCGGCACTCTGCGTGGCCGTCCCTTCGGCCTTTAGCCCTTTGGGCCTACAGCCCTTCCGGCCCTTAGGTGCTGCCCTGCATCCCCTCCCACCCTCCTTCTCCTACCCTGGGGTTTTATGTGTCCGGAATCCAATTATTTCCTTCCCGCGGCCGAACTTTTGCCGATAGCGTTGTAAAATGATTACACAGCGTCTAAACTCCAGGTGCTCACCGTAGACGGTGAGCTGCGCCGGCTCGGACACCCTCCGGCCGGCGATGTTCTCCGCGACGCAGGTGTAGTTGGCCTGGTCGGCGAGGCGCGCGCGGTTCACCAGGAGGTGGCCCTCGCCCGAGACGAACACAGAGGGTGCCGGAGGGGCGCCGCCCAGGTCGCCGGCGGGGAGTCCCGCGCCCGCCCCTGTGCCGATGGCCTGGCCGTTGCGCTGCCACGTCACGGAGGGCGGCGGGACGCCCGGCGGAGGCAAGCACCGCAGCTCGGCCTGCTCGCCCAGGGCGATCCTGGTGCCGTAGGGCGCCGCGGCGAACTGCTTCTTCAGATCTGCAAAAACAAAAACGAAAAGGAGCTTTAGTCATGGTGCAGTGTAATCCGGCTCGGTGCCGCTGGGTCAGCCGTCAGCCCGGCCGCAGCCCGGCGTCAGCCCGCAGGGAAGCCCCCCACGCACCCGCCACTAACAGGATGCCGATCATCCCCTCGAACCCTTCCTGGCGCATCATCCACTACTGCCCGAGAATCAAGCGCGTTTGCTGGACGTGCTCCTCGGTCGTTGTCCGACCGAGGAGCGCGTCTTTCGAATGCACGGCGTGAGTGACGCGACCCTTTTCCCCTCGGCGAGAAGGTCCCCGTCGTCGTGGGGCCCGCGGAGGCGCCGCGTCAGCCAGCTGCGCCCACCACGATAAGGGGGAGCTTCATTAGCGAGGGGACGGGACGGGTCGGGAGGACAGGACGCCGAGCCACGACGCAGCGTCGCCGCGCCGTCCACGGAGCCCAACAAGATGGCCGCGATAGCTCCGCTTGCTTCCGTCAACAGCTGCTGCTGCTGTCCGCGGCCGCGGCGCCCATCCGAGGACAGCGACGGCCGCAGGGTCCCGTAAGGGACCGGGACCCGCGAGATTAAAATGGCGGCAGCGCGCATTCAATGGGCGGCCGTAGAGGCGACGGCGACGACGCCGACCCCCTTGACCCAATTTAGACATTGCGGCGGCGGCGACATCTTGCTTGTCTTGTGACTTTGCGACAGTTCAGTTCGGGCTGAACGGCGGCCGGGGCGGG